TCAGTAGCATCACCGTTGCACGCGTAGAGCTATACAGAACCGCAGTAGACTAGTACGTGTGGCAAACTACACTCACTTAAAAAATACTTCGCTGTTCACGGAAGACTTAAATGAATACTTCGTCTACGACATTCAGGTGAGTCTCCCGTCAGCATGAACCTGATATGTAAATGAGCATACTTCACTTCCTGTGTACAACTTGGAGTTCAAAAGGAATATATGGTTGATGAAAATCTGGAGAATAAGCCCTCCTGGTGAGTGCCGTGTACAGTGTTGTCAATTTTTTCAACAAACCTAGAAGTAGGGGATTATGTAGAAATATGCCGGATCATTTTCATAACTTTCGCTATCGTAACTCTGCCATTTTACGCAGAATCGAGGTAGTAAGAGCACTAAGGTTTTCAGTCATTAACCACGACTGCGGGGCAGCAGTCGGCGTAAGATTACTAGAGCGGAAGACACCCTCTGAGAACTGGGGGAAAATCTGGCGGGCGAAACCGCCTGAATACTACACTCCATAGGGTGTATACATAAACTGTGGAAAGATCCGGTCTCCTGGCAGCGTATTGGGATACAGTCCACTCTGCTGAGTATTGTCGAAGTCCATTTTGCAGTAGCAGCGTACTTAGGCGGAAGGGTTGTGTCTAGACAGGAGCAACTAAGGGTGAATGGGTGTACTGGAACAAAAGATATTCCGCTTAGTATTTCACAAGTTACTCCGCGACTTGTCCAAGGCTCTGCTTATCATCGCCCGTTAAATCAGCGGACTAAACCACTCCAGAATGAGCTATAAAATTCCTGATGTCAAACCATTCGCAACTCTCAAGTTTGGCTCAGAGTAAACATTTGTGTAGGGTGAATTGTCATCCGCTGACGCTCAACTGAGATCCCATTCTGCTAGTGAAGTGAATCAATGCTGGAAAGCATCATAAGGCTGTTTCACTTTTGTGGCGCATCACCAGCAGTGCGCATCCCACGGACCTAAGGGAAGAATCGGATCTGCGACCTTCAGTTTTGAAGTTGAATTCTATTCCACTGGGGTAAGGGCTGTTGAACAACAGAGCAATTAACGTACAAATTTATAGATATAGGATAGTCGGACGGGATAGACAGGTACAGGATATAAACGGTGTTTTCTCTAGAAAAACTTTTAGCTGCATCACCCTTTCGGTGCCTAACTGCCATGCCACAGGAGGGGACTACGAGGACTGGGATACTGCCAGGTTGCCCAAGCCTAGACAGGGGAAGTCGAGGGACAGAGATCGGTCTCCAACTACAGTAAATTCGCGAAGTTTTACGTCCATACCAACCTGAGTCGTGTAATTATCGTCATGACAGGACGCTAAACCGACAGCTTCTAGGTAAAGTAAAATCATAATCGACCTAACGATGATAAACGCAAAGCTGGCCCTGGTGCAAGACTATTCAAGAGATGCCAAACAAATCTCACTCGATGCTGGACGGAACCTCGAGCGAAAATTTGAAACATTCTCAGTACCTGAGATCTAGCATAAACTAAACTCCCAAAAGTGGTGGATTCGACAGAACATAATGAACTCACCTTTAAACTCTATCGTAAATATTTGGTGGCGCAACAGCAATTGACGGAAAGACATCTAGGTGCTTGGACCATATAAGAATTCATCAGCCGAAAGGCTTGGCTTTCCGTCAAATTGCTAAAACAGTGGCCTTTATTCGAGTGCACTTTTTGGAAATTTTGGAGGAGACGATAAACCGCCTCACTAAATGTAGTTTTCCTAACCGTTGCACCTCGAATGTATGTATTACAGCTCGTATGATAAAAATATAGTAACTTTGTTTCAGCTAACTGTTCCGAGCCGTCTGAACTATTTGAGCCAGCATCCAACCACCATGCCCGAGTCTCGTGTTCAGCGGAACTGTAAACGTCGCTGCTGCACCATACAGTAAACATGCAGAAAAGATATATACTGCATCGAGCGTTCGGATCCTACGGGCCCATACCAAAGTAAGCTCAGTTTAGTAATTTCACTGGTTGAAATCTGCATCGATGCTAAGATGGCGCAGATTGAAACAACTGCGATGTAGTTATCCAAGCATACGGTCCCCTATCTAGTCGGGCGACATCAATCAAACGATTCTGACACACTACAAACCCGATCACATGTCTGAATGCCTAAACGAGATTAACAACTTTTGACGAACATGCGCAGTAAATAAAATGACTGGTGTCACGCACGCTGAGGATTCATAAATCAACATTATGAGAAATCAATTGTCCCATTTCTATGCTTGCTGTCAACTGGACCACAATCCACAATACTGAAAATTCCAATGAAAGGCGAAGTAAAAGCGATGAAATACATAAGGCCCGGAGGGTAACCAACCCTTGATAACTGAGGGAAGTAACGGAGGGAACCATTGCTCCACTAAGGCGTTTCCTTGGGGGTAGTAGTGCAATTTTAACTCCAGGCTTCTGTGGGACACTAGCCCTGGACCCCCTATCATCTCTCCCCTTTCAACTTTACGGTTTTATCCAACTATATTAAACTGGTTGTACACCAGTGACAGTGTTGCTGTGATTGGTAAAGAAACCATTGTTTCATCAAGAGAATCATGCCTTAAAAAGGTGGAGGGCAGACAACCAAAAAAGTGAGCGAATAATCGCCACCGGGTAAGAAAATGCCCAGCATGTAGACCTAAATAGGTGCTATCTGAAGCAGTGGATAGGCTGGAGCCTTCAACATCGAGACGGACCACCGCCTGAAGAGAATGACAGTGCAGTCGATGCAAGCATGACTGTATCAAGTAACCGCAGGAGTAGGCAACATACTGACTATTCACGACAATAATAAATATTCACTCTGTCTCGGTGCCTAGTTGCCATGTCACCCGAGGGAAGCACGAGGGCTGGGATACTGCCAGGTTGCTCAAGCCCAGACAAGAGAAGTTCAGATGCAGAGATCGAGTTCGAACCACAGGCCTTCCGGTCAGTAAATCCGCACTTCAACTACTGAGCCATCTCAGCCCTCCTGACCATTCATAAGTTTTCTTCAGTCACATGTTGTGTTGACCAAATCTTCACACTGCGTCAGGTGCTAGAACGCCATACGTATAAGCGACCCACGATTCTAGTATTCCTGGATTTCCGAGGCGCATTCGACTCGGTTGATCAGTCTGTTCTTCTTGAGACGCTCGCCCACCAAGGAACGCCTCGGAAGTTTGTAAACATAATACGTTCTTTGTATTCTCAGACTTCCGGACGTGTG